AACAAGTTCTGAAGAGGGCAAGGCAGGTGGGCAGGGGTGGGGTTGGGGTAAAAAGCAAAGTGGTAAGGTAGGAAAGGAGGCCTAGATTGTTCTGCGGGGTGGGGAACGGGGTGGTGAGCAGGGAAGGGAGCCTTGAACCTGCCCATGGCAGTGCGCATCTCGGCAGAGCCATGAGCTGGGCAGGCGGTTTGCTGATGGGCACAGCAGCTGCCTCCTCCCCAGCACCTAACTGCAGTTTCTCTTTGCACGCGCACGCGCGGTTCACAAGGACCAAGGACTGACGAGGCAGGCAAACAAAACCCCAGGAGGGAGGACAGCAGCCAGCCCCAGGGCTACTCTCTCCAAGGGGAGTAAGTCTTCAGGCCATGCTCTCCCACCCCTTTGTTTTGGTCCCGTTTCAGGTCTCATCTTCCCTGCCCAGTCAACGGTTCCTCTCCACTCCCTGGGAAACAAGTGTTCTTAGCCAGAGGCTGACAGTGGCTTCTATTCCGAGTCTAGCAGTTGTCTCCTGTGAGGCAAAACCTTACAGCCTGAGTACACACATTAACAGCAGTACAAGGCATCTGCTCCCAGGATGACACGCTGCTGCCACATCCCCACCCAGGACCCAGAATGGATTTACTCATGACCCAGCTGTGGATTCCTAGAGCTTCTACTCAGGCCCTTGGCAGTCTTGGCCAGCTCGGACACCGCTTACACAATCGAGCCCAAACTTTCATCACGCACCGAAGAAGAAAATTTAAGCCAAAGCCTAACTCTTTAGTAAGTTGAGACTTCTGTGCTTAGACCCAAATCCCAGATACATTCGTGTCCCAAAGACCCACAAATACGGAAAAAACACACATTACACGTCCCATTCTCCTCTTATTTAGACTGTTTCTCTTCTCCTAAACAAATGAGAATAAAAATAGGTCCCCTTTAGGACAATACCATTTCGAAAGGTAACCAGACAAACCCCCAGGATACTACAAAGTACTCTCCCACCTTGACACTGACCTTCATTGGCCAGGTGGTTCAGCACTGACACTTTCCGCAATCTGTTTTGCACTCCCAACAGAGGGCAGAACGCCTCCCCGCCCACCATTCAGGACGTTCCAGTTCCGTTCAAGGTTACCACACTCGACAGAGTGACCCCAATTCGCCGGAGCTACTGAAAAGTGAATTTAGGCCTAAATCTACAATAAGATACATCGAATTTCATTATGAAGGCAACTTGATTTACAGAAAAGATAAAGGCCGAAAAACATAACATAGCAATACAACAATTCCAATGAGTTTACAACTCAAACTTTTATTTGTGCTGTAAAGGGGAAGAAAAATGATTAGTAATCACGTACATGATGCAACACGACCAGTTCTTACCATACAGAACATACAATTACTTTAACCATCTACTTTTACAGTTTCAATTTCACAACAGCGTACCAGAACATATTTCCTCACACACCCATGACTAACACTCTGTAAACGCCAATGACAGTAATTATACCACGCCCAAGTCACAGGTTAAGAACGGAACTATGATGCCAACATATTTTTAAACATTAAAACAACAAAAAAAACCCAGAAGACAGAAAAAGAAATCCCAAGGGCAAAAAGTATTGTGGATTTAAAGTTTTTAAAGTAGAACGTAAGGTGAAGGACATGATAAAAACCCACTGATATTAATTTACCAACTCAATAGATGCATCTCGCAAACAAGTATTATCATGAAGGGTTTTCAGATCTTTCCCCTAATTTTTACACACAGATCACTTTTAGTGAGGGCCCCCTCGCACCCCAGTTTTGCTTTTATTCCCCAAACTGATTTTCGCTCAGTTTCCCCTCTAATACTGGATCATTAAAAGGCACAAACATTCAAACTAAAGATACAATGGTTATTAACTCCAGCCTTAGCAAGGGCACGTGGATTGTTTGCTACCGAATATTACAGTAAGTTTACAGTGACCACAAAAGGCTACTTGGTTCTCCTGGTTACAATGAGTATGAAGAGAGGACAGCAGGCAACTTTTGCTGTTATTAATACTGACCACAAAGACGAGATGTGTTTATAAGGCACAACGTAACATAAACTTCCTTTAGAGATCACTGTTTTTCACTTTGCTCAGAAATTTCAATCACAAAATATCTTGGTGAACAAGTATGAGTTACAAACCCAGAAAAGTACATCTAATCTCTTAAGTGCACACCAAAAATAAAACCACTTTAAAAGCCCACAATTTGGGCATTTAAAGTTTTTTTCCTAAGACTTAACTGCTCCTGAATATCGAACACATTCAGCTTCAGATATACCACTTAAGAAGCTTGCAAAGCAGTCAAGGACCTTAATCCCCTGCTGATGCAAGGTTTGGACACCCTTCTTTCAAGTGACTGATATTCAGACTTCCCCACCTTGCAGCAGAGCAAAACAATTTTGCTTTTTCCCTTGCACTTAAGAGTTCTAAGCTCTTTAGAAAGTTCCCAAGCAATTTCTGTGCTTCCAAGCAACAATTAGCATTAGCAATTTACTAGTATTAACCAGCCTTTTCTTTGCCCATGAGCTCTATTAAACTCCTCAGAGCCCTGCCTACTGATCTTTTCTCCAGAGAATTCCCCCTTCAAACCACATTCCCTGCCACCCCCACCCTCTGCAACAAACACCCAACCAACCCTCTCCCTTTCTTCACCCCCACCACCCCTCCCCAGTACCAGTGCCAAGCTGGGCCCTCCCCCTCACCTACAACCCTCACCTCAGGGTCCTCCCTTTTGAAAGCCAAGATTATTCTGAAATCTAATCAGGTGAAATTCAAGTCAAAAAACATACAGAGCAAGATGAATCAAAGATCACTATGGGACCCTAACCATTCCCTTCTCTTAGAAATCCACAACGCAATCCGAATACCCAAACTAGACCTGCCATTTCTACCAGAACTTGCACATGACCAACTTGTACCCTCCCAGACTCTAGCACAACAATGACCCCCTCCCAGTTTGCAATCTGCTTCATCTACGTATTTGTCTAGGCATTTCAAACTTGAACAC